ATCGATCATTTTGGTAAGTTCCACTCTTTTTTCTGCAAGTTGTTAACCAGTTTTTGCTTAGTTTTCTGAGTGTTTACGATCTTTCATTTGTTTTCAGGCCGCGCAAAAGAACTATTTAGCGCACGACCGAATGATCGCAGTGCAGCAGAGCCTACGGGATGCCATAGCTGAGAACAAGGCCCAAAAGGCCGAGATAGCGAAGCTGAAGGCTGCGCAGGAAGCAGTTATGGCCGAGCGAGATAACCTGAGCCAAAAGGTTGACCGAGCTGAAGCGGACAAACAGCGGGCTGTGAAGTCGACCAAAGCCCAGTATCTCGCCGAGCTGAGGAAGCTGCGCGATGCCCATAAAGAGGAGAAAGATAAGGCGGTTAGCGACGCCGAAGACAGGGGTTATGCTCAAGGCGAAAAAATGTATGAACGGCAGGTGTAGGCGACCAAGGACATCTTTTTCCAATGCGGTTGGAAAGCTGCCGTGGAGAAAGTTGGCCTTGGTCAAGATGCTGACATGTTCCTACATCTGCCTGCGGCCTTCATACCGCACTATATGCAGGCCTATGCGAGCGCCGCACAGAAGAGGCTCATAGAGGAGGCCAAAAAGGAAGCCGCGGAAGAAGCTGCCGCTGCGCAACAAACCGAGCAAACTTCGCCTGAAGCATCTCAGGATGCTGAAGATCAAGTAGCCGATCAGGAAGTTGTCGTGGTGGAGCACGCGGATGATGAGTCGGAAGAAGGCTTGCCCGAGCACACTGCGGAGGTTGCCGAGCAGACTGTGGAGGTCGCCGAGCAGACGGTTGACCTGGAATTGGATTGAAATGCCCCCTCCTATTTCTTGCTTTGTTTTCGTTTCTTTTCTTTCTTTGTTTAATGTAACCGGGCTAGGGCCCCATAATTGTAATGCAATTTCCTCAATCAATGAAATTTGAACTTTTTGCCCGCTGATCTTCTCTTTTTGTTCGGTTGCAACGTGTAAAATGTCTTGATTGAAACTTTAATGTACCATAACTGATAGGCCGGCTGGCCGCGCAATATGCCGAACTAAAATCAGAATTTCTTCGATTTAAATGTTCGCGGCTACTCTCAGCTCGGTTTTTTTTGTTTTTGAACGAACACAAAAATTTTCATTCGGCCGAGCAAAAATTACCACTGCCATTCTGGCTTTGACAACACTTCAAGTCTTGTGTTTGGGCTGGCAAAAATCAACTCGGCCCTAAAGGAAGTTGGACAAATCTCAGTTATTTCACTTCGGCCGAGCCAAACCAGCTCGGCCATTAAATTGGACAAAACACCAATATTCCGACATGGAGTCGGATAGAACGCCAACATTTCCTTTCTCCAAGCGAAGTCAGCTCGGCCTCTTGTAAGTTGGACAAGGCACCAACATAGCGCTTGGCCGAGCAAAGTCATCTCGGCTATTATTTGTTGGACAACACCAATATTTCATTTAGGTTGGTCATGACGCCAACATCCCAACTGGGTGAGCAAAAAACCAGCTCGGCCCTTACGTGAATTGTTCCATATACCAATCATTTCGTTGGACAATAATACACCAACTGTTGGTGCGGTCCGCTTCTATACCAGCGAAAGAAGATTAGTCCGGTCCCATTCAGGTCGGTCCCTTTTCCCCTGGCATCCACAGTGGCCTTGTATCCTTGCAGTGTCATTGTACAGAAAGATGTGATACAAAACAACAAGAGGGCTATTTTTCATTACAAAAAGCAGTGCTATCCTTACATCAAATGCCAAAAGGCTAAAGGTCTAGAAAGCTAAGTAATAAAAGCAATTACACTTTAAAAGTAAAAGATCTTAAGGCTGGCTGCATTCCACGGTCTGGGGACAGCTTTGCCATCTAAATCTTCCAGATGGTATGCCCTTTTGCCAGCGAGACCAGTCACCTTGTATGGTCCTTCCCAATTTGCACCGAGCTTTCCTTCTCCAGGGACCACCGTGTTGCCCAGCACTTTTCTTAAGACCCAGTCCCTGATCTTGAACAGCTTGGGGTGTACAGCCTTGCTGTATTTCTTGGAGAGTTCTTGCTGATAGGCCGCTATGTGGATTAGCACCCGCTCCCTCCTTTCCTCGGCAAGGTCTAGCTCCAACGCCACTGCTTCATTGTTCAAATCTGGCTGGAAGCTTTCGAACCGGATGGTTGGCATGCCAATTTCCAGCGGGATGACGGCTTCCATGCCATAGGCCAAGGCAAACGGAGTCTCTCCGGTCGACCGTCTTGGCGTAGTGCAGTACGCCCTGAGTACGTTAGGGAGTTCTTCAGCCCACTTCCCCTTGGTCTTCTCAAGCCGCTTCTTCAGCCCATCCAGGATGGTCTTGTTTGAGGCCTCTGCTTGACCATTTGACTGAGGATAAGTCGGCGTTGAATTGTAGAATTCGATCTTCAGCTCTTCGCAAAATCCGCAAAACAGTTTCCCATCGAATTGAGTGCCATTATTTGAGATGAGGGCCTTGGGTATACCGAAGCGAGTGATAACATTTTGCCAGACAAACTTCTTCACATCCTTTTTCTTTATGGTCGCCAGTGGCTCAGCCTCAACCCACTTTGTGAAGTAGTCGGTGGCAGCGATGAAGAATTTGCGATTGCCCGGGGCTACTGGGAGTGGCCCCACTATATCCAATCCCCAGAGTGCGAACGACCAAGGACTTGTAAGGGGAAGCAATTCCCTTGCTGGCTGGTGGATCTGGTGAGCAAATTTCTGGCACTTTTCACATCGGCGAACGTATTTCTGCGCGTCCGCCTGCATGCATGGCCACCAATAACCTTGGAAAATTGCTCTATAAGCCAATGACCTACCCCCAGTATGGCTGCCGCAGATGCCTTCATGGATCTCATAAAGGAAGGCTTCCACCTTAGCGGGGTGAACGCACTTCAGATATGGCCCGATAAAAGACTTCTTATACAAGGCTCCGAACGGGGAGAGCCAAAATTGCTCTGACTTGGCCCGGATCTTGTTGGCCACCTTCTTCTCTTCTGGTAGAACTCTATCTTTCAGGAAGACGATGATGGGGTCCATCCAGGAAGGACCCAAGTCGGCACAGAGCACCTCGGTCATTTCCGGTTCCTCAATGCTTGGCTGAGGTAAAAATTCTATCATCAAGGGGTTAGGAAAAGATGTCTGAGCAGAAGCAAGTCCGGCCAATTCATCAGCCACGTTGTTTTCCTCGCGGTTGATTTGTTCCATCCTTATTGTGGCGAACTTCTTGATCTCTGCGCGTACCAACGCCTGATACTTGGCCATTCTTTCTTCCTTTGCCTCATACTCCCCCGAGACCTGATTGACCACCAGCTTGGAATCGCTGAATACCATCAGGGCTGACGCCTTCATTCTCAATGCGCTTCTTAGCCCGACAAGGAGGGCTTCATACTCCGCTTCGTTGTTGGATATTGGGAAGCCGAGCGTAATTGTCTGCTCGATAATCAGCCCATCCGGTGAAGTCGGTACGATACCCAGCCCGGCCCCATGTCTGTTGGATGCCCCATCGACGAAGAGCTTCCACATCTCGCCAATAAACAGCTTCCAGCAATCAAAGGGGTTCTGGGAGCTTCTCAATTCCAAGTCTCTGATTGGTTCATTCTGGTCTCTTTCCTTGTCTTGATTGAGCACGTCTTCCAAGAAGTCACCCGGCTCCTCTAGTTCGGTTGCTCTTCGGCCTTTTCCCGCTTTTGAGCCAACACTCGTCTCTATTGCCAGAACCATGGGCTGCGCTAAATCCGCACCAACCAAATCAACCGGGCAAACTGGATGCGTTCTAGGGGCGAATTCTGCCACAAAGTCTGCAAGAGCTTGAGCCTTGATTGCGGTGCGCGGGCGGAACTTGATATCGTACTGCCCCAATTCCACGGCCCATTTCAAAATTCTTCTGGTGAAGTCTGCCTTTTCAAAAAGCACCTTAAGTGGGAACTCAGTTAACACAACTATTGTATGGGCATGAAAATAGTGCGCCAGCTTTCTTGATGTAATCATCAGGGCCAGCGCTAATTTTTCCAGCGGAAGATACCTCGTCTCGGCCGGGAGCAAAGTCTTGCTTACATAGAAGATGGGCAAGTGCTGGATGCCTTCAACGCGGACTAGGACGGTGCTCACAACATGTTGAGAGACTACCAAGTAGAGATACAACTCTTCGCCCGGCCGAGGTGTGACTAGGATAGGGGCTGAGGAGAGGTATATTTTTAAGTCTGCCAGTGCACGGTTACATTCGTCATCCCAAAAGAACTTGGCCTTCAAAGTTTTAAAGAAGGGCCTGCAACGATCTGAAGACCGGCTGATAAATCTGTTCAGCGCGGCTGCCATCCCGACAAGATATTGCACGTCCTTCATGGAGTTTGGGCGCTCCAGCTCTTGTATAGCCTTGATCTGTGATGGGTCAGCTTCAGTCCCTCGGTTTGTGACCAAAAACCCCAGAAACTTCCCGGTGCCGACTCCGAAGGTGCACTTGGAGGCATTCAAACGAAGTTTGTGGCGTTTAAGTATGGCAAACATTTCTGCTAGGTCGGTGAGGTGCTGAGACTTCTCCTTACTCTTTACCACCATATCGTCGATGTAGGCCTCCATTGTTCGGCCCAAAAGAGGAGTGAACATCTTTGTCACCATCCTCTGAAAAGTTGCCCCGGCGTTCTTCAGTCTGAACGGCATGACTTTATAACAATACAGGCCTCTAGGAGTAGTGAACAACGTGATCTCTCGGTCCGGTTTATACATGGCTATCTGGTGGTAGCCACGATATGCATCCAGGAAGCTAAACCTCTAATGGCCAGCAGTCAAGTCCACCAGCTGGTCAATTCGAGGGAGGGGGAAGCTATCCTTTGGGCATGCATGGTTAACTGTCTTGTAGTCAACGTAGACTCGCCACTTGCCATTCTTTTTCGGGACTACCACCGTGTTGGATATCCAATGTGGGTATTGCACTTCTTCTATCGCTCCTGCTTCCAACAGATTTTTGACCTCCTCCGCCACTACCTCGGCATGGTGCAGAACCGAGCGGTGAGTCCTCTAAATGACCGGCTGCGCATTTGGGAAGACGTTCAACTGATGGCAAATGAAGTTAGGGTCGACGCCAGGGATATCGTAAGGCGTCCACGCAAAAGCCTCCATGTTGGAAACCAAAAAGTTGGCATAATCCAACCGTTCGGCGCTAGACAAAGATGATCCCAAGAGGAAGAACTTAGTTGGGTCATTCTCGTCGATGCGCACCTCCACCAAATCCTCGACCGATTTTTCCTCGGCCTTTCTTCCTACGTCTTCAAGGACCTCCTTTCCCTCGGGTCCCTCAATCATTTGGACAAATCCTTTAGCTGCTCGGTTGCCATTTACTGTAACGAAGCATTGTTTCGCCATCACCTGGTCTCCCCAAACTTCCTCTATTTGTCCGTTTGGCGCCGGGAAGCGCAAGACCTGATGGTAAGTCGACGCTACTGCTTGCATGGTGTGCAACCAGCCCCTGCCTAAAATTAAGTTATAGGTGGATGGGACTTTGAGCACCCAGAACTCTACTTGCTTTGTGACTGAACCCGCTTTGACCAGCAGTATGATCTTCCCTACCAGCCACTCTGGCTGAGAGTTGAAGCCAACCAAAGGGGACGTCGCAGGGGCCAAGTCCTTGTCCTCCAACTTCATTTGTTTGAACGCGTCATAGTACATAATTTCGACCGAACTTCCCTGGTCAATCAAGATCCTCTTGATGTCAAAGTCTTTGACGCAAAGAGTTACCACTAGGGCGTCATCGTGCGGCATCTGGATCCGCTCCAAGTCCCTGCTCGAAAAGGTAAGAATGTCCTTCTCCTCGGTCTTCCCTTTCTTCACAGCGGGCCGAATGAAGAGCATTTCCCTCATGTGCTCGGCTTTCTTAATCATCCCTCTGAGCTCGCAGACCCTTGCTGGTTCAACGATGCCATGGATGACGTTGATTACACCTTGGGGTTCTGCCTCTAGGGTGGCTAGGCCGTTTGGCTTGGTTTGCTCCAATGGCGCAGCTTTTATACCCCCATCTATGTATTGGTCAAGATGTCCCGCGGCTACTAGCTCTTCTAAATGTTGTTTGAGCGGCAAGCAGTCTTCCGTTCGGTGTCCCCGTTCCTCATGGAAGGTGCAACGATACCTTGAGTTGAAGCCTCTCTGTGCATTTCCCAACTTGGCCGGCCAGTGGACAAAAGGCTCGCCTCTGATCTCACTCAAGATGCCGTAGATAGGGATTTTAAAGACCGTGGTGATTCCAGTCCGCGCCTTCAATTTTCTCTTAGCATCCTCCGCTGCATCACGGGGAGCGTTAGCTCGGTCGTTTTTGCGACCCTTGTTTCTGTCATCGCGGTTTTGGCCACGTCGTCGATCTTTTGGCCGGTTGCTTGGGCGGTTATCCTCCTGCCCGACCGAGTGAACTTTCCCTGCGACCCTTCTGTCTGCTGCGATCGGATTAACCTTCTCGGTCGCGGAGGCGGCATCATCCTCCACACGAATGTGCTCATTGATCCGCTGCATCGAGGACTCCATGGTTGTGGGTTGGTGCATTGTGAGCGAGTCCCGCAGCCTATGCCCGATTGGGAGACCCCGCTTGTATTGAATGATCGCCAGATTGGTAGGACAGTCGAGGATTTCGTTGTAAGTTTCCCAGTACTTCGCGTTGTATGCCTTCAATGATCCCCCTGACTCCATCTTGACGCCCAGAAGATAATCGACCTCCTTCGGCGTTCGAGTGTTGGTTTTGAATCTGGTGACGAAGGCTTCTGCTAGTTGCTGCCACCCCTCTATACTCCCTTCTGAAAGCCTTTCGAACCATTTCAGGCCCAGTTCTCCCAAGCTGGCTGGGAATATGAAGCACATCAAGGCGTCACTGCGCCGGTGGCCAGCCATTACTTGCCGGTAATGACTCACGTGCATGTACGGATCCGTTTTTCCGTCGTACAAGGTGAACTTAGGCTGGTGGAATCCGGCAGGGAGTAGCGTACTCTCGATCTCCGGAGACAACGGCGTGGCTGTAAGTCTCGCCAACTCTTTGTCCACTAGCGCATGGGCCATCACTCTGGGCGCTGGCATCGCCACTTCTTCGCTACAGTGAACGGGAGGTGTTCAATCTCTGCCACGCCGGCACTCTCTGAGCCTCTCAACGGCGCGCCCTCTGCTCCAATACATCCCTCAGGTCTCTGGAACAGGTGGAGAAAGAGTATCGTGACGTCAGAGAATGGCGTGAGGGACGGTATGTGCTGTCTCGAGTGAGGGATCTGCCCTCCATTCGGTCGGAATCTCCAACCCCATAGTTCCTGGTGATGGAGAGAGAGTGGGTCCTCTCCTGGCGGCGACTGCTAGAATGAGGGGACGGGTGCGCTCACTGAGGTTGCCCTTTTCAGCAACACCCTTCCCCTTAATCTGACGTTTCAACATCTCCATCTCCGCCGCCATCCTAGGAATGAGGGCATCTTGGTCTTTGAGTTTGTGCTCCAAGTGCTGCGCACGGGACTCCCCCCGCCGCCGACGGCCCTATGGACTCTTCGAGCAATCAGTACTCCTTTCACATTTGTCATGCGCACCTCGCGAAGAGGTTTCTAGGCCCGCCATGGCTGGAACATTCGGAGGGCCTTCTCTCCATCGGACAGACTCTGGTGTGACGCCATCGACGACGGACAGTGGAGTTTCGTCATTGTTGGCCATGGAGATGGCTGAAGAAGCTTGAAAAACAAGGTTTGAGTATCAAAGAACTTCCCACAGACGGCGCCAATTGTACGGGGGTGAAATATCCTCTGCTTTCCGTACTCCTTGGAGTTCAAGCTTCACGTGACGGCGTCTAACCTGACAACACAGAGAACGGTGAGCTGCCCGGCGGTGGTGTACCGGATAGACCCTCCGACGATCAAGTCAGATCACTTGAGGAAGAAGGAGGCTCTTTGAGAGAGAGAGAGAGAGAGTGTTTTAGATAGCACAAGTTGCTTTCCTTAAACGTTCTTCTTCCTCTCCTATTTCTAGGCTGGCCATGCAGCCTCAAGATTGCACGCGCACTACCTCCGCTGTCCTTCCCTGGATAGGTGGCAGTGTTCGCCTCTCACCACTTTATGCGTGTAAAGGCCTAGTCCTCCAACCAGTACACGCAGAACTGCCCAACGGTATTGACGCGTGCTTGGAGCAGATGTCCTCTCCCTCACACCATTGGCCCAGGTGGCACGCTTAACCAGAGTACCACGATCGGCCTATTGCTTGAGGAAAATTGCCACCACAAGCAACATATCCAAACTGCATCTCGCCGACCTATCCGAAGGTCTGATTTTCATGCCCGAGCTGCGCGTGACCGACCCATCCTGGTTGACCGACCGTGAGGCTTGCCAGCCTTCATCTCGTCCTTAGTCTAGCTTGGGCTACCCATAGCTCAGTCTCTCCACTCGACTGCGTGCCCTGTCGAATGTCTACAAGTCACAGCTCGGCCAGGCCTTAGTTCATGCTCGGTCGGTCAACCTTTTCGATCGTGCAGGTCAGGCCGACGGGCCGTGTCAGGAGAGAACTCAACTCGATGCCTAGCGGTCCGTTGCGACCTGCGCTATCGTAGCTCGGCCGTGTTAACCGGTGCAAATCTTCCCTCTCAGTTTATTAAACAGAAATAGTTTAAATAAGTTGAAAAAATTGATTTTTCAGAATCTATGTGAGGAGTGATTTTAACTTTTACTTTTTAATTATCAATTTTTACTTTAAAATAATCTCCACCAAATACCCAATAAAAAATAATCTCCACTAAAAAATTCTCACGAATTCCACATTCACGACGTGGCAGCAACATCTTGCGCAATTTTGCTGAAATCAGACACTTTCAAAAAGAATCTGAAAAAAAAGAGAAAAAATTGCCACATCAGCAATCTTTGTGGTTTTGAAATCTTTCATCTCAACTGTCTGTAACACGGATCGAAGTCTCATCCCATTCCTATATATAACCTCACTCGCAAATCACACACCTAAAATCCATTTGTTCTCGAGTTTTCCTATAGCTGAGAAGAATTAGAGCTCCAAGTCTCAGGTATTTCCCTCTGTATGTTTTCACTATTAGTTTAATCTCTTTGATTTTGTTTTCTCTTTCTTTGATCTATCAATGGTAGTTTTGTCATAGTTCTTCGATAATGTCTAATATAATTTAGCGCTTATGTTAATGATATTAACCAGCAAATCGGTAATCAATTTTCTAAATAACTTTTTCTACAATCTCTCTCGATTGCACTCATGTTTTGATCTTATATAGCTTTTGATTTCTTGTATATGCTATTAATTCTCTCATATATTGTATTTATATGGCTTTTATCAATTATTAACCTATTAATCACAATAATTTTCAAAGAGGGAGATTTATGCCGAACAAATGGGCCAAGCAAAATCTAATATGAACCTTGCTTTTGACCTACCTATTAGGCTACATGTGTCTTGGATGTTGGAACCAAGCTAGATGATGGGCTTGAGTTGTGGGTTGAGCTTGGTGGAATGAGAATCCTATCCTTGATCGGGGCAAGGATTGTAGCCGAGTTAGGTCAGTGCATCAGTGATAGATTGGACTAAATTGTGTAGGATTGCATGAAGTTTGACCGAGCAATGGGATCACAGAGTGAACCGGGCTAAAAAAGCCCCTCGTGGCAGTCTGCTAGAGTTAAGTTGGTCTTGAAGATGGCTAGGTTAGACTGACTTGAATTAGCTCAACGTATGGACTTGTGGAGCGAGCACACTTAAGGATTTCATAAGTGATTGCTCGGCTAGGACATTTCACGTGGCCCAATAGAGTATGGTGAGGAATCTACCTGAAGTACGCTTCAATATTGTTTGGCAGTTTATCCAATACTGTTTGGAAGTATTGACGCACACGTGTAAAGAAGAGAGAGGATAATTGTAGACACCCCATTTTGACCAGCCCTAAGACTTGGGTGCTTTCTGTTGATTACCCGATGATGACAATCAAAATGTGTTTCCCAGCAGTCCTCAACAAGAAAAATGGAATTTGAGCTTTATTCCAAATCTTCACACATATTTGGTCAAACTATTTTAGACCTTAAAACTCTTTTTTCAAAATATTTTTCCAAATGTTTCTACGATGTTTTGAGGCTCCAATTTCAATTAAAATATTGCACTTTTCAGTAAACCGAGTAAGGACAAAGTGGAAATAAATAGAAGGGAGGTGAACTCTTTAAAAAAAAATTTAAAAAACATCTTCTTTATAGGTTTGGATAGGTTTGGATTTGAAGGAAACAAGTGGAGATGGAAGAAAACTGGTTTAGGAAAAAAATGAGCATCAAATCATTAAGAAGGAGATGAACAGCCTTTACTAAATTAGGCATATCTCTTTATACACTCGGAATTTAGATTTGAGACTATCACCATTGGAAATTAGACTTATGGGGCTTCAATTTAGACCCAAGAACCACCTAAAACCAAGCCTAAATAAGGGAGATATACCCATTTGAAGTTGGGCTTAAGAGCAGATTTTATTGACTTGGTTCGAGGGAAATGAACAACTTTCACTAAATTGGGCATATCTTTTTTTACACTTGGAATTTAGATGTGAGGCAACCACCATTAAAAAGTAGACTTCTGGGGCTTCAATTTAGTCCCAAGCACCACCTAAAACCAAGTCCGGATAAGAGAGATATGCCCATTTGAAGTTGGGTTTAAGAGCAGATTTTGTTGACCTGGTGTGAGGGAAATGAACAGCCTTTACTAAATTAGGTATATCTCTTTGTATACTTGGAATTTAGATATGAGACCACCACCATTGGAAATTTGACTTTTGGGGATTCAATTTAGACCCAAGAACCACCTAAAACCAAGTCTATATAAGGGAGATATGTCCGTTTGAAGTAGGGCTTAATAGTAGATTTTGTTGACTCGGCCCAAAACAACAGCAGACCCTTTTTTTTTTGTTTTGGCTCGGTAGGAACACCCCATTGAGCCATTTTTTAATCTATTCAAGTGTACCCACTCATTCTCCATTATCTTCACTCACCCCCCATTGTCAAAAAAAAGTTTTTGTTTGCATTCATAAAGAAGTATCCCATGCAACCACCTTGAAAATTTGCCCTCCTATCACATTCTTGTCTTCCACCTTCTTTTTGACCTTCACTTTTCTCATTGCCTATATAGAATGATCATATTGTAAGAGAGAGAGAGAGAGAGGGCCACGAAATTGAAGAGAAAAAGGTGAGAAAAGGGTGAAAAAGAGAAAAAAATTGAGTTTTTAAGCTAAAAACATTCCTATCTTCCATATACACCCCATACCTTCCATACAAACTGAAATTCCATCTTTTCTACACCCAAAACTCCTCCAAAAATTCTGAAATAGCTAAATTTCAGTAGTGATTGATCAAAGGAAAGAATGAGTGTTGTTGAAAGTGAGAAAAAATAGTTGAAAGTGAGAAAAAAAATAAGATAGTTAGCCACTTTTTCACCATGCATACACAGAGTTTCATTCTAGTTTCAAATTGAGGATTGAGAACACACTTCCTAAACTTGAGGGTAATAAAGAGGAAGTTTGAAAATTAAGAAGTTCAATATTTCTTTAGAAGATGAATTTCTAGTCTTTCATTTTCTTATATTTACTATCTCATATTTATTTTCTTGCTTCTTATTTTATAGTGTTTAGTTATAATCCAAGTAGTTTGTTTATTTCATATTTATTTTCTTACTTTATATTTCATAGTATGTTGTTGTAATCTAAGTGGTTTGTTTAGCTCATAATTATTTATTTATTTATTTTTATTCGCTTGCTTTAATTTAATATTAGTTTTGTTGTAATCTTGCATGTTCTATCCTATATTTGCTTTCTTGTTTTAGTTTCATAATAATTGTGTTATAATCTTACATTTTCTACCTTATATTTTTCTTGTATTGATCTCATA